TTACTTGATTCGTTTGTAATACATCACTTAAATATTTTGTTCCAATAATTCCGATTTTATTCTTTGAAAGATCCAAGTCGATGATTGTCTATATCACAATGAAACTATGATCATCAACAGGACAAACAGAGAAATGCGATGTTACTTCATTGTTGATTAGTGCATCAGTCAAAAATTTCATCGCAATGCCACCAATACTCTTCTCATGAAGATCCATTTTAGTGATTGTCTTCAGAAAAAGGTAAAAAATTGTGAGAAAGAATCTGGAAGAAACAAATTACTTTATCATTGTATATTTGAATTGCTGCACTCACAACTGTACAATAGCTACTAGGATTTCTTTCGAGGTTCAATGTGATAAGTGTCTGTACCAGAAAATGGCAATATTTATAATAAATGAGAGGTGTTGAAGGTTTACTTTGTTTTCTTTGAAGACCTTGTGAAGATATTGTGCTCCATCGTTACCGATTCGATTGTGGGAAAGGTCTAAAGTGGTAAGTACCTGTGTATAAAGTAAGAAAGAAGTATAACTTTTTAATGAATCTGAGAAATATCTAACTTGATGGTTTTGTAACGTGGCAGCCAAATACTGTGCTCCAATGTCTCCAATCTCATTATGTGAAAGATCAACTGCAGCTAAAGTCTGAATGATAAATAAAAAATGAATTCCAGTGTAATGAATTTGAAAAATATGTCACTTTGTAGTTTAGTAGAGCCACAGCCGCAGGTTGTATCAAATTATCTTCAATTTGATTGCGGGAAATATTTAATTCAAAGGATGCCTATGTAAAAACATAATAATATACATCATGAAATGCAAACGGAAGTGAAGAATCATAGATGGAATCGAATACTAAGACTCGTCACAAAAGATTGTCACCTATACGATCTTGCATAAAATATGATTAAGATCTATTCATATTTTTTTTGTGTACGTGAAATGATATAATTTGTTTATTCTATTTGACTAAGAATGTAAGCGCACTTGATGAAACTCCTATATTGCGTATGTGTTTAAGTTAAATTCTAAAAGTAGATATTCTGCTCTACAAAAATATCTTATAAGAGAAAATTGTGAGATATACCAAAAACTATGGATTTCCTTAGCTGAAACACATATGATCGTTCTTATACGTATAAGAAGATTGTATCAGACTTACCTCTCCTTTGCTACTACAGCTTTCATTGTAGCCCCTACGCAAAATTAAGCGACATTGAGGGTCTAATAACGGTACTTCAAAT